GAACAGGAGTGCCATAAGTCCCTCGTTGAGAGTTTCAGGAAATTCACAATCGAACTCATAGCTCAAGCTGGATTTGGATTCATGAAGATATCAATCGCAAACTTTAGAAGCTTAAGTTCTTGCGTTACGGATGGCAAACACATTAAGAAGATAAAAAATGCAACTTGAGGCTGTGTTCTTATATGGTGTCGTCGACTGTTTCAAAAAAATAACAACCCCTTCGTTCCATCATAGGTCGTCCATAAGATTCATTATTCCTTGATGGGGATGACAAAATATTCTGTTGATCTTTTCTTTAGAAAAAATCTATTTTATTTTGTTTCGCTCAAGATACTTTCGCTCAAGATACTTTTCAAAGTTTCATTTGAAACAAAATTGTTAGCTGAATCAGTGCGGGAACTAACAGTAAATAAAAATTAAGCTTTTCCAAATAATAAAACATTGTATAATAATCAAGCTTTTTGAAACTTGTCTTCCATTTCACGTTTATTAACTTTATCAAAACTGATAAGTATTTTTCCTTTTTGTATAAAAAATAACTATTAAACAACATATAACACAAATATTTCACATTTAAAAAGAACTTCTCAAAAATGGAAACATACACATATCCAAAATTGAGAAAAAAAGTTTTGTGTTCATGTCACCTTGTTCTTTGTTTCGATATATCTGATATATTAGTATCTCGATCTTTAAATCATTAACAACGAATGAGAAAAAATTCAGTTTACCTAAAAGTGAGAAAAGAAAAAAATACCATAAAACGAACGGAATTAGAAGTAGGTTTGCGCAAATCATTCTTACCTATGATGAAAAAAGAAAGTGCTGTGTCTGCTGTTGTTGTGCATACAATTGAACAAGAACTCGAAATATATGCCGTTGAATTCCAGAATCAATAATCTGAAATAATGACAGCTTTCAATTGTGTATATTATTAATGCCAATAACTTACCGGTTTCATTTCACCGACACAATGAAATGGGCATTTTGTCATATATTGCAATACTATCGTGTACAATACCATTGAGAGACTTTTTTCCCCGCCGCTTTGCAATATTTCATTCATTTCTGGCAACGTTTTACCATCACACAGTTGTATTTTAATATTTATTCCATATTTTTCATAATCATCCTTATAGTGAAAATAACAGATTTGTAGCTTAAAACAATGATCCGTAATTAAAGGAAAAGCTTACATCATTTTCAGGTATATATAAACATATATCTACATTAAGACCCATTGCATTGAAAAATTTAACCGCACTTTCATTTATCGCCAAAAGTAATATTCTCACTTGATTCAACCATTTCTGTTTAGCATTCTCAGCTGCTATTTGATACTGATGCATATGTAATTCTATTTCTCGGTAATGAGATTGTAACTCAACTAACATTGTTTGTTGTATTTGATATTCATGAAGCACCTAGAAAGAAGAGTGAGAATAAGCAAATAGATGGTTGTGCAATATGTGAATTGTCCTTTATATTTAACAAATGCAATCAACGAGGAGTATGACCTATAGGGTCAATGTACATAATCCAAGAATCAATGTACAAAAGAATTATTATCTCAGAATGTTTTACTTACAACTTTATCGATATTAGATTGACAATTCATTAACTAATTACCTCAGATAACGTTAATCCATCATCGAAAGTAATGATCTGAAGTTGTGCTGATGTTTTATTTGTTGCGATTCTACCCTGATCCGTATTTGTTAATGAGATAATTGGTAATTTAGATAATATTTTGTCTTCCGGATACATGTGAAAAACCTAGAAAGAGGATTGGTAGTGCTAAACAATCAGATGTCTGAGTAATATGTGAATGGCTCCTCATATGTAAGAAATTTTACACGATCGACGTACATAATCGAAAAGCTACTTATAAGCATACTTTTCATGATAAAAGTTGTCTCAAAAAGCACTCATTAATCTAGTAATCTTTCCTCTAATCTGTTAAAAGAATTCGGGTACATGAGAACTATTTTCTTCTTATAACTCACTTACTTCTTTATCGAAATTGGACTGACAATTCATCTGTGCAATCAAATTCATAATATCAGCTTCAAAATCTTGGTCTGTTTGCAGTCCACCAGCGAAGCGCTAGATGAAGTTTGAAAGGAAAAAATACTATAGTTATACTTTACAAACATCTTTCTTGACTTACCAATTTTATTTGACCAAGTATTTGATTCATAAATAGCGACAAATTTCCTGGTAATGGTATCTCAAATAATTCTGTTATTATTCGTGCCCATATTCGAGTTTCAATTTCACTTATTTTCATTTCATTTTGCTTTGTCACTCCTTCAAGCTGAATCAAAAAGAACAATCATCATTTAATTAACGAGGAAAAACGGATGAATTACTTGAATTTTATTAAAATTCTGTGTATTTTCTTCTAAATCAGCCTTTGCTTTTTCATGTTCATAACGTGATACGGCTAAACGAACACTTTCAATCATTAAATCGACACATTGATGATACTTAAATTAAGTAAAATAAGGCAGTGAATGTATCAAATTGAAGAAGCTATTCGTCAAAAAAAAACTGCTTCACAGAACTTGATGATCTTGTTACGAGATTCTCTCGCTTATCACCAAAAATTCATATTAATTCTTATTTACAAGCAGACATTCTTTGTATCTGAGGTGAGTAACTGTGCTGGAGGACAGTTACTCACCTTGCTTGTTAAGTAAGCATGCTTACATTCAAATAACCACAATGATCAACCAATTTTTTTAAAGTGTCTTGATGTATTTTCTCTTCCTTTCCATGAGAAAAATGTTCTTCATTCGCCATATCAAGTTTTGTGTTTTCATACCATGCAAGACTAAATAAAAGGTAGTTTTTGTATTACAGACGGCTTATTTCCGAGAGAATCATACAGTTTTTGTTTTTCATTTATTTTTCGTTCGGCTCCTGTACGTTCATTTCGTATATTATTGATAACAATCTAAATATAAGAGGAGGGGAGAAACAAATATCTATTGCAACAGATAAAAGTGCGAGGGCATCACAAGCACACACTTCTCATTGCTTACAGCACAAGTCTTTCAGTAGAGACGCATGCTC